CTAAAAAAACTAAATCTGCTATTACTTCTAAAATCATTTTGGTTCAAAGAATTAAGATAGTTATTACAATTAATTAGTCAGAAATAGTGATCAATTTTATTTAATTATAAGAAGAAATATCATTATATTATGATAAACAATGAAGTCTAGAGATTACTAAGGTTTGTAATAAGAAAAAACTGGTACTATTATAGAATGCTACTGTTTGGTTTAAGTCAAGCTTCTTGAGTCTTTTCAAAATAATAAGGGTTTTAATTGCAATTGGCAAGCTCAAAGAATCTACTGTAAATACCATCTGATGACATTTGGGTAGCATATCCAAGCTGGGATATTCTTATAAAAATGATGAAGAAGTTTGTAAAAGTTGACCTGAAAAGATGTAAATAGATTTGAGCAAAAAAGAAAGAAAGTTCAAATCTAAATTAGGAGTTAAGGTTTTATAGAATAGTAGTAATTTCAGTAAAAAGAATTATAATAACATCAGAAAAGAAGATTACATCAGTTATATTAAGTTAAAGACTCTATTAAAAATGTTAACTATAAGGCAAGAGACCTTACCTTGCATTTGTGACAGGAAAGATAATAAGTTTATTGAAAACTTTTTTCTAGATCAGATAAAGTTCATGAAATTCTACAAATTCATAGATACCAAAAATTATATATTATAAAAATAGGACAACAGAATCTATCTGTCAAGACAGGCAATTAAGGATATCTATTGATTAATAAAGAATTTAAAAAATAAAATAATTAGGCTCTTGGAAACCTTTTTATATAAAATTAGTATATGCTAATGTCTTGATAATCAGTTGATATAAAGTTTTTTAGAACTACAGATTGGTAGAAATATAGTTGCAGTTTCATTGTGCAAATGTGATAATATAACTAAAGGCCATAGTAGTGTTTTTAGTTTTGATATTATTCAAGTATCTTTTAAAAGATTCATAAGTCATTTTGTTTATAAACGACAAAAAAAACCTAAAGACAATGATGAAAGAGGATTCAACAAAATGGCAGAAAGATATTACAAGACAAATTTTAGAGATTTGTATGATTTATAATATTAGAATTTTTAGTATACAATGGATTCCAAGCAGAATAAATCTAATAGATTTTTTAACAAAGTTAGTAGATTAAGAAAATTGGATATTAGATATAAAACAGTTGAAAGGAATATAAGAAAGATTTAAGATTGATAGGTTTACAAAACACCTTAATATAAAGACCAAAAGGTTCAACAGTTTTTATTTTTATTTGAATGCAAAGATTATAAACTCGTTTATATAAGATTGGATCAGAATAAAGAATTATGTATGTTCATCTTTTGTCAGATTCATAAAGCTTTGTATTATATATAAGAATGCAAATCATGAGTAGTGATAATAATTCAAGTATAAGTTTTGACTTCATGATAGCAAATGATTATGAATTTGATAAAAAAAGAGATCAATTTTTCAGAATCAGATCTAATTATTTAACCAAAATTATTAAGCATAAGAGAATTATATAAGAACAACTAATAGCATTTAAGAACAATACTGCTAGATTAGTTAAAGATTTCTTGAAAGAACAAAGTATTTAATAGATAAATTGATTAATAAGATGTATAGAAGGTGTTTAGAAAAGATACAAGCTATATTTGAGAGTTTTTTATATTGAATAAGTTTTATATCTTATTTAGCTTAATAGAATCATTACTAGCCTTTATTCTATAGTTAGAGTTATTAGATAGAATAATAGAAATTTTAGTTTGTCTGTTTGTAATAATAAAAAAATATAAGTTAAGAAATCTTAATGATTAAATCATGAGAAATACAATTCAATTAGTAGTAGAAGGGATTAAAAGATCTATATACAAATAAAAGAATTAGTTAGATAATCAAGAGATCTGCTAATAGTAATAGTAATTAAGTAGTATATTAAATATTCATCTACAGAAATTAATGTATAAGTATAAATACAAGACATAGCATTAGTAATCTTAAAGTTAAGATTAATGCAAAGATAGAAGAATTATATATTCTGAAAAAATTGAACATTATTAAGAAAGACAACAGATTTTGGATTAGAATAGCAAGATTAAAATCATATTAACTAAGATGAAGCAAATTTATCTCAATAGAAAAATTATTAGTAGAGTTTATCTAATTAGGTTATTGTATATATATTTAAAAATAAGACCAAGTATGATATTAGAGAATTTATTATTTCTATTAAAAACAGGAAAAAGACTCAGTAAAATTAATTTTGATAGTAGTTAAGTAATTTATAAAAAATACAGAACTGCAAAGAAGATATTCAATACATAGTTTAAGAATTAGAAATATAATAGTAGTTATAAAAGGTAACAAAATAATGGAACAGATCCAATCAATTGGAGAATGAACATGTAAAATAGTAGAGGTCAATATTGGGTCCTGCATTTCATTCTGACCTGATTCACAAAAATTTACAGATTGGACTGAACTTGAAACAAAATTTTATAATTATAAGTCAGACCAAGCTTAAAATTTTGTAAAATTATATAAGAAATTTTGTAAACTAGGCTGGATTAGATTGAAGAAAAAATTTACTTATATGCAAGTCAGACTGAATCATTAAAAAAATTTTAATCCTAAATGCAGACCAGATCAGATTTCAAAAATAAACAATTTGCAAACTTCTAAGAAGCAATGCAACTATATTTGAGAGCAATTAGTACAACAGGGTTGAAAGTTTCATATTTAATAGATTTTTTTTTAAAAAAAAGAAGAAGAAAGAATGCATATTGTCATGGGTCAGAAAAACATAATGATTCATACATAACAATACATAGCATGAATAATGATCGGGACCCATGGATCATACATGCATTATTGACTCCCTCAAGACAGTGAAATACACATAATTAGGCCATTATGTCAAGAAATACAAATAAGACAGTTGTGCCCGAATTGGGAAAGATATTTAGACCATGATAGCAATGTTTCAAATAGATGGAATCCAAATATTAAGGAGACAAGTTAGTATAATTGTAATAGAATAAAGTAAAAGTGAAACAATTTAGAATACAACACTTATCTGGTCTAGTAAAACCTGTGATGGTACAACTATGTAGTGGCAGAATGATGAAAAAATAGGAGGGCAAGCTAATTAAATAGAAAGATTGTTAGTAATGCAAAATTGTATAAAAAAAAACATAATTTTAATAAAGTTACTAATCTTTGGCACCTCCAATTAGTTGAAGAATGATTGAAGCCATCATAGTAATAAATTTTGATAGTTTATAGTGTAGTTAGTTAAGGGGTTTTTAAATAAAGAAACTCAAGTACAATAAATAAAGTAATAAATAAAATACTCACCAAATCAAATCTCATGCCTTGAAACCTTATCTTGCCAATTTTCATACCATTATGCGATGTTTAGTTCGTAGAAGCAACAGACTCACTGTTTACCTGTCACAATATAGTAATTGATTGCAAATGCAAAATTATAAGTAAAAATTTTTATAATGATACTCCACAATAACCCATAATAATTTTTTATAGTCTTTTTAGAACACCTTCTTAATGAGAAACAAAATTGACTGCCTAATACAAGAGTGTCAGAGCAACTTTTTGTTATGAATTGAATACAGAGTATGAATTCTAATTAAATAATTTTAGTAAGATCATATGAGACAGTTATTATGAAATTATGCAGTGATTATATTTGTTAACCTATTAGTAGGGTTATGTAACTATGCAATAATTATAATTGATAATTGATTAAAGTATCAGTAGAGTTTATAATAGTTTATTATAGTATCAATATAATTATGTTGAGTCTAGTGGAATAATAATATAATTGATTTGATTATATTGGTAGAGTTTATTATACTATTGATGAAATTATGTCATTAGAGCTTAGTAGAGTACTGACATAATTATGTAGTATGTTGATTTGAAATTGATGGATCATATTTAAGGGATTGGGTTTGCTTCTAGATATAATAACTTCTGTTTTTCTGCTAACCCAGCTTTGTCTGTTTTTTTATCCAACCCTTACCCACCCTTATATATGCCTAACCAAATGTCATTGTGAGAAATTCTGTGAATCTTAACAAGGCTTGACCTGTTGGACGACAGGCAAAGTTTTAGCATTAGTTAGGTGGCCTGTCGAGATGACAGTCACAAGGCAACATCATAGCTTTATATGCATGTTAATCAGTAGATTTGGCCTGTTGAGACGACAGTCAAATCTTGAGTTCAGTGTTTAGTGAGTGGCCTGTCGGGACGACAGTCACAAAGAAAACGAAATAATCTTACATAACTGCAGGTATTACGCTCGGGTAGGCATGATCTGATGAGTAGAGCGTAATACTCATCTGCAAATTCATCGATGCTTTTAAATTCTACGTTATATTTGGATGTTGACACAAAGCGGAGAGACATAATACCCATAATTATTTTCGTGGTCTTTTAGAACACCTCCTCGATGAGGGACAAAATGCATTTCGCCATTCGTCAAGAATTTCGCCAACTTCTAATGGGCGAAAGATGAATGCCTGATGAAATGATTTCATCATTCGTCAGGCATAATTAAATTAGACATCATAACTTTATGAGATGGTGTTAACTTTATTGAAGGCAAGACTTGATAGTTTATATATTTTTCAATTAAATACATTGAAGTAAATACTATATATACTTTTGAATCCTTTTTCCTATTATCCGTTAAATATCCGTTGAATCAATCGATTCCATAAATAAAATAAATTAAAGCTGTACTAGGTTGGATACATTGTAGATCGGGGGAAGGGTAAAATTGCTTTTCACAATGGCATAACTATTACTCTAATAGTAAATATATGGAAATTACGTCATATATTTAATCATGTTATACGAACTCAATTTACCCGACCCCGCGTTACGATTACATGAAGTACAGAAATATACTGCACAATATTATTAATAGCAAATGCATGAAATGAATAAAAATTTTTTTTACAATAAATTGAAAGAAATTAATAGAAAAACTTTTTAAAGTCTACTTAAAGTTGTTTCAATTTCTTTAAATTCTTCGGATATTCTTGATATTCTTTTTGCTAATTCAATAGAACTATCTATTAATGGTTCAGATGAAATTGACAATGAGTTAATGATGAATATTGATAAGGATCTTTTAAATGAATAGGTTAAATACCTTGAACAGTATTTTGGTTATCTAAATTGTCATTGACAACGGAATTAATTGATGACAAATGATTAGATGAAATTACTCGAGATGGAATATTTGGAGGAGAGAAAAGTTTAATTAATAGCATATATCTTAACCACTCTAAGAGAGAAGGTTGTGAAACTATACTATTATTAACTCTATTATCAATGTTATTATTTTTATTATCAATAATATCGTCATTAATAATATCACTTTTAATGATATCAGCATTATTGAAATTCATAGTTTCCAATTCAATAAAATCATTTGCAATGGCTTTTTTGTGAGATTTATGAGGATAATTAGACTCATAAGAGTTAACAATGGAGATCCACCATTTATGTTTGATAGCCTGGAAAGTACGAGTAACTGCAATATCCTGTGAAAATACTAAAGCATTCAGGAATCCTAAGGTGAAATAGATAAGACTAATAGTCAAAGAACGTTCAAATAATAAAAGATAAATATATATATATAAAACGTGTAAATACCTTGAATTGACATGCCAATAAAGCAAATTATCGTAATTGGATAAGGGATCACATGATTGATATAAAAGTAAGTTTCACTCAAACCGCCAGAAAATTGAGCTAATAGTATCACAGGATACCAAATAACTCTTCTGACAACAGATAAAATCATAGATTTACTAATTAAGGGAGGATGACTAGATGACCGAGAGGTCGAAGAAAAATCCAAGCCATCGATTTGATTTGCTACTAAGTTGAGTTTTCTAATGACCATAATAATAACGATCGCACAATACAATATAGATGCATCCATCCAACCGTAAAAAGTAGACCATTCCCATATTAAATTATATAGTTGACCAGCACCACGATACCAACAACCACTGTAATAGATATTAATCAATCTGAATATATGAAATAAAATATATAATGACAAAGCAAGGGACAAAGTGCCAGGCACTATTAAGAGTATGGGCATAAAATGCCGGACATAGCTTCGGGCACAACCAAAAAATTTTATAGTTATGTAATAAACAAATATATACTAGCACTAATAATGCCCATGCCCGTGCCTAGTATTGCGAGATAATTATTTCCAATTCCTCAACTTTAAGGAATTGACCATTAACAATTTTAGTAATTCCACGATTTAGGAAGAAGGTACATTTTGATGCAAGAATTTACAGGACGTCAAAAATGCAACTTTTGCATATAATTATGGAATTACTAAAATTAGAAATGTTTGTCACAATTGTGGAATTACTAAAATTAGAATTGTTTGCCACAATTAGGGAAAT